ACTGGGACTCTGACTAGGATCCATTCATGTTACATTCTGGAGATGAATTTGTTAACATCTTGTCCAGCCTAAGATTTTGTGGTAAGGTGACAGGCTTAGTCTAGTGGAGAAATTTTCAAGGCAGCTCAGTTTTCAGGTTGCAGTATTGTTATTGCTAGCTGCTTTTAAACAAGTTTATATAAGAATCATGAGCAAAAAGCAGACTAGAAAGTGTTTTGGAAAACTCACTTTGCCTCTCTTAAAAAAAAAAAAAATCATTGACTGGGGGACCCAGATTGAATAAAGAAGGTAAAGGAGAAAGCCCAGCAGTTTTCTGGCTCCTCTGTCCCCTGGCTACCATGATGTGAGCTGCCCTGCTTGGCCACACTCTCTCACCAGGATACACTGCAGCTTCTGAGAGGGAAAGCCAAACAGTCCCTTCTTAAGTTGTTTCTGTCAGGCATTTACTCACAGCAATGAAAAGTCTGACTAACACAACATGAACTGAGAGCTTTTGAAGTCAAATGCTGACTTTACAGTACTTATTGTGTTATTCTTTTATATATTTTGTTTTTCTATAGAAAAAAGCTAGAAATAGAAAAATCTTTAGCTTCTCATGAAGATAAAGGTAAAGGCTACAATTGACCTTTGAATTAAGTTTTCACAAACCCTTTCATGCATAGGGGCCTTTTTGGTGGAGGAAAGAACATATAGTCTCACTTTTTCAGCACTAGAGGGACTGAAGACCAACATCCTCACCTTCCAGTTAATATTAAACCACTGTACTTAATCCTCATGGAATTCTCCAGATGCCTTGAATGCAGAGCCAAAAGGAGGGACTACTGATTTAAGAGAACACACAGTGGGGAGAGCTGGGATTTATCCAGTAGGGAAAGTGATAATCAGTATTATTTCTAGGCATTCCCATCCTTCAAACCATGCTTAACAGCCTCAGAAGAGATAGAATCCTCCAGAAACCAACCTTGCTTTTGGTTGTTTGTAGGCACATTGAAAATATCTGCTGCTATATTGTTTAGGTACATTTCATCATAAGGGCCCATTCATTCAGACTTCCAATGTCAGGCCTAGACTTCTTCACTCAAACACCCGATAGGTACCTCCAACCCAACTAATCAAGTTATGAAAGCAATATTCCTGCCCTCCTCCAGTCTCTATCATCTGTGTATCCCCAGCTCTGTGAACTCCCTCTGTCCTGTCCAGTCCCCCTCATTGGAAACATAGAATTCCTCCGAGACAGCTTTCTTCCCTACTCTCTCATCTACTCAGTCCTCAGTTTTCCCAATTCATTCTCCTTATCCCCCACTCAGAAGATCCTGATTGATGAATTCTTATCATTCGAAATTGTGTGTCAGGAATGGGCACAATTTGGAGTCCAGGACCCCAAAGGCCGAGGCAGGAGGATTGCTGCAACACAGGACTTCAGCTGCATAGAGAATTCCAGACTAGTGTGGACTATAGAGTTGATATCCCCACCCAGTACACATGTGTGCCCAAACTTAGTGTCTAGTACAAAATGGGAACTCAATGCATGTTGAGCTAAAATACAAAAACAAATTAGATCACATCTGCAAAAGACATGACTCAAGTAGGTTTCATGCTCAGTTTCTGAAACAGTCTGAAAGCTGAAAAGACAGAGTTCATGCTTTGCCTGGACTATTTTGAAAAGGGATATCGTGTATTTTTTTCCTAAGGACAGTCATTTAATTGAGATAAACTTCCCCCAGATTTATAAAAATCAATGCCCGCCCCCCCCCAAATAAAGCCTGTGTATTTGAGTGTCAGAGAAGGGACAGAATGTCAGAAGTTAGTCATCTTATTGCCACAGTGACGCATGATGACCAAGCAGAAAACCGCAATAGCACATAGGAATGCCATTTGCTTGCTCAGCAGTTTGTGGATCACCCATGCTTTGTTGCACGGTGGCTGGGCTCTCTCAGGAGGACTCTGCGTTGAGTCTCCAAGTCCTGGGACAGGTGGACTGACTGGAGATGACAGCAGTGTGAGAGAGCATATCCAATGGTACCAACATACCTTCAGACCGAGACCATCACTCAGCCAAGTCAGGTTTTAAGGCCAAACTCAGAGTCAAAGGAGTGAGAAATAGCAAGAAGAACCTTAAAGTTACACACACATCTTAAATCCAACACTCGGGAGGCAGAGGTAGAGGGATCTCTGTGAGATCAAGGCCAGCCTGGTCTACATAGTGAGTTTCAGGCCAGCAGTGTTTTACAAGGAGATCCTGCTTCAATAAACAAAAGTCAAGCATAAGATACAGCCATCTAAAGCCATTCTGCACAAGGCCAAATCACACTGGCAATTTCACATGATTCCATCTATTAACTGTGTTCTTTGCAGCAATGGTCCAGATATAGACAAGAAACAGATTTAGAAGGAATTAACTGCTCTAAATCACACAATAATGGCAGAAAGAGTTCTAGGACCCGTGCCATCTGGTGTGCAATTTCTTCTCTTAAGCAGATTGTAGCACAAGTATTTAAAAGCATTCCTCATTTATATCTACCCCTGACAGACACACAGACATACACACACACACAGACACACACACACACACACAATGTACACCCGTTCTTTGTCTCATTTCTGCTTCTTTATCATATTGGTAGCCTGGCCCCATTCCCTTCTGACACCCTAGTTGAAGTCTCATCTTAAAAGAGGACTGTAGTGTCTTCCCCTTTGAGATTAGCTTAATTTGTCAGCCTCTTTCATGCTGATCCCATGGTGATGACTGGATTCTTATAATAGACCTAGCGCTTTTGCTCCAGACTGAGCTTTGCAGATATTAAATAATTAACATCTAGCAATCTCCTTGGTGTGTGTTACCTCTGCATCACCCAAAATAGCTGGTGGTATTTCTTCTGTATAAATAGATAGCAGAAAGGTCAATTGGCATTTGTGAGATTGTGTGTGTGTGTGTGTGTGTGTGTGTGTGTGTGTGTTTGGCAAAGCAACAAAGCAGCAAATCCCTTTATTCTCTCAGATCTGTGACAGCGTCATACCCGCCATCTTTCATTGATTAGTTATTAACGCCCTCACTGAAGTCACCCCAAATTAGGACTATGCATTGCTGAAGGAGAAATACGTCCTAATAGCAATGACAGGTATTTTCTTCAAGGCATGTTAAATCTTGCTCCTCGCTCCCACATGAGTGAAGTAAAGTTCAGTGAGCTTCACTCAAAGACATGGCATATGATCCAAAGTGCTGTTTCCCTGGCTCTCTTCTCCGGTAAGCCTGAGGCAGTGCACAGCACGAATCTCTGGAGGGTAAGATGTTTTTGTTCTGTACCTATCTTCTTAGAAACATATTCTAAAATGCAAGACATCATTCCCTGGGTATGTTAATCTGTTTATGAATTTTCTCATGAGACTCAGTGACTCACAGAAGCATTATTCTATTTTACTGTTATAAAAACTATCAGCAGGAGGATCCAGAAACTTTCTTTAACTTGAGTTCTACTACAATCCCTCTTTTCTGACCATTTTGTAATCCGGTTGGTCATCAAAGGACAGGGATCTCCAGGGGACTGTTCCTAAAGTGAGGTCCCTTCTTTGTTACTCTGAGAGCGTCCTTGCTTTTCCTCTAAGTAACCATGACCATGACAGGGGCTGGAAAGGTGGCTCAGGGCTTAAAAGCACATTCTGCTTCTGCAGAGGACTTGAATGAGTTCCCAGAATGCATATCAGGCAGCACCCCCAAGTCAGGTGATTCCAGTGATGACTCCAGCTCCAGGAGGTCTCAGCCTCTCTGCAGGCTCCTGCACTCATGTACACATACCACCCCCCACCAGACACATAATTAACAATAAATCTTTTTTAAAATTGAAAAGTGTGCCGGGCATGCTGGTACTTGCCTTTAATTCTAGCACCCGGGAAGCAGAGGCAGGCAGATCCCTGTGAGATTGAGGCCAGCCTGGTCTACATAGGGAGTTCCAGGTCAGCTGGGACTGCAGAGAGACCCTGTCTCAAAAAACCAAAATTAATTAATTAATGGTATAACAACAAAAAAAAGGAAGACATGAAGTTGGGAGGTGACAGTGGGGATCACTAGGGAGAACTGGAGAAAGGTAATGGTGGATGGATAGAATCAAAATGCATTTTATAAATGTACACAATTTTCAAAGAATAAAAGCATTAAAAAACTGATGTTTGAGGGGACAGCTTGTATAACTTGACTTAAGTATTGCACAACATATGTGTATATGAAAACATCAAATAATACCTCATTCACGTGTACAGTTTTTATGGTTTTAATAGAAAAAAGGAAAAATTATATTATATTTTGGAATATACTTATACACAAGGAAATGATAAAAACTGGTGATTTGTTTTGTAACAGTGGAATCTATTTTTATTACAAATAAATGTCTTCAGCATTACTGAAGACTCACAGAAGGGAGTCACTTTTGGAATCTTCCATCTAAGCCCTCATGTTTATCTAGCATTTGCTTGTTAGTGATGGAAGGATACAAAGCTGATCAAGAATGGAGCTGAGATGGGTATCCCAGCTCATACACAGCCAGTGTCCTGTGGCCTTCACAAGCAAACTGGCCACACACGGTTCTTAGAGATCAGCACAGAGTTCAAGGTGATCAGCCCAGAGTTCGACCCCAGGAAAGAGTCTTCTCCCAGGCCATCTTCAGGATGCTCTGGGCTGGTTGGACATCCTAAGGGCTGTATACAAAGGAAAGCCTTTCAGGATGCCAGACTTTCTCAATAAGCTCCCCATAGGGCAGAATGAAACAACTTCTATGACCTGTGATGCACAGGCAGCTGGGCTATGTGCACTCCTCCACAGAAGTCATTACTTCCGATGAGGAACTGATGGTAAAGATGGCAGCCCCAGTTTATGCACTCGTTTGCCATGATGAAGTCCAGCATGTAAGGTTCATGGATTTTCACAGAAATGTGTACTCCTGGCCTTTTGGTTGCTGTGGAAGTTCCGTAGTGAAGGCTCTGGGGAGCAGGTTCCTTGCCTACTGGGCTCAACAACTGCTCCTCGAAGTAGAGGAGCTGGTCAACCTCAAAACAGTCACTGGCCCGAGGTACCACCCTCTCAAGATGCTCCTGGATCTCTGTGTCACTGGCTTGCTCCTGCCTTGCTCTCTTGAGGTAACTGTAGGCCTCCTCAAACACTTCGACTCCCAGCTTCTGCATGGCTGATCTGCCAAGAAAGTTAGGAAAGATTATGACAAGCTGCACGTGGGGATCACCGCAAGAAGGTGTTTTTAAACCACTGCCTAGTCAAATAATATTGCTGCCCTGGGATTTAGGGGTGGGGAAAGGGAAATCAGAGACAGAATTCAGCACCGAACAATATTCAACAAATAATGCTTGCATGTTATATTCCAAGTACTCTTTCAGAAACTGTGAACATACTAGGAAAGAAGTTTGGAAAATTCTTGCCTTCATCCACATGTATACACACGATGTATCTTCTGATTTTTCATCACTGTAATGGATTACCGAGAAGGGCTACTTATGATGAAAAGAGATTTATTTAGCTTGTAGTTTGGAGGTCTAAAATCCAAACAGCATAATGCAGCTCTGTGGTGAGGGGGCCGCCCTTTGGTTGTACACTGGCCTGCACATTAATAGTGGAAGTGTGTGAGTGTACAGGCAGCTGAGTGACCATGTGGCTCCATCTCCAACCCCATCTAGGTGCACAGAGGAGGGGAATGGTAAGGTCAGCCTTGATGCTTTATGATCATGGACAGATTCAGGTGCCCAGTGACTTAAGTGGGAATTTCTCCAATGTTCCATCACTTCCCAATAACTATCTGCTTTGCAGATAGAGAAACTGAGGTTTAAAAGGGTAAAGCAACATGGCCAAGTTCTCCAAGGTGAGAATTCCCTTTCTACACTTTCCATTATTCTTTTCCATCCATGGATAGATTTGCATTATTATCACCATGCTGCCAAATCTAGCATGTTTATTTCACTTATGACTAGTAGGTGTTCAGGAAATATTTACGGAGTGAAAGAGTGGGCATAGAGCCATGCAGGACCATGATAAACTTGAGGGGTTATGAAAGTCTGCAGTCGCATAAGTCAAGGACACTTCCATGGAGGAAGCGATGCCATCTCTCACAGCTGGAGGAACATCAGGTGGGAGCCAGCAGTGGCGGCTTGAGGACATCCATGGTTCACTTTGGCAGGTGAAGACACATGAAGATAAGCAGCACTGAAAACCATGTGAATATGGTGCTTAAACCTTAGAATTTTCCAGGTGTGGTGGTGCACAACTTTAATCCAAGCACTTGTGAGGCAGAGATAGGCAGATCTCTGTGAGATCAAAGCCAGCCTGACCTACATAGTGGTTCCAGGCCAACTGGGGCTAAGGGAGACCCTGTCTCCCCCCAAAATAAATAAAATACAATAAAAAGAAAACTATAGACCCATAGCCTTAATGAACAGAGATGCAAAGATACTCAACAAAATACTTGCAAACCATATACAGACATACATCAAAAAGATCATCCACCATGATCAAGTCGACTTTATTCCAGAGATGCAGGGATGGTTCAATATATGTAAGCCAATAAATGTCATAAATAATATAAATGGGCTCAAAGACAAGAACCACATCGTCATCTCAATAGATGCAGAGAAGGCCTTTGACAAAATTCAACATGCTTTTATGTTTAAAGTCCTAGAGGGAATTGGACTGGAGGGAACATACCTCAACACAATTAAAGCCATATATAATAAACCCACAGCCAACATCATTCTAAATGGAGAAAAACTGGAAGCATTCCCATTGAAATCAGGAA